GAAAGCATGTCAACGCTCACCGAGGACGAGCGTAAAGCTGAAGAAGCTTACAAGCAAGCAAGAGAAGAGATGGACCTCTATGAAAAGGAGCTCAAGAAGGAGATGAGAGAAAAGCTTGAAGTAAGGATGAAGAAGGTTCGAGAACTTGAAGACGACGTAGTCGCAGCAAGAGGAGACGTTGAGAAGACGAACAACGTGAAAAGCGCATTAGAACAGCTAGGTCAAGTTGTACAGATGGCAGACAAGCTACTGTCAGCCTTAAGTGAAGAATTCAAGGACCTAGACTTGTACAAGAGGCCAGATCCAGACAAGGAGAAAGAAAGACAGGCCTTAGCAAAGCTTATGACGATGATCAAGAAGAAAAGTGAAGGAAGTAATCCGTCAACACCGGCAGCAAAGGTCAAAGCGATGCCGAAGAAAGCACCAAGCGTTATCAAAGAAGGATTAGCTATTTCTGAAGAAGAGAGAAGTGCAGCGAACACGAAAGAAAAGCAGTTGGAGCTGAAGCGCAAGCTGCAAGAGCGTTTCGCAGAAGCAACAGATGAGATGATCGACAAAGCAGCAAGGGCAAAAGTTGATCATGCAAAAGACAAGCCAAGCGAACCAGAAGGAACGCCACCAAAGAGGCAAGTGAATCCGTATTGGCTCAAAGGCCAAGGGGATCAAAAGGAAGAATCTTACAAGAAGACAAGATATCAGAACTGCTATTACTGCAAGCAGTCAGCCGACCACAGAGCGACTGAGTGTCCTCTGATGGAACAAGCTGTGCGAATGTATTACAGCGGAGAGCGGCCCGAAGCCAGCAACACCGCTCACAAGATTTTCTGCAAGGTATGTTATATCTACTTCCAGAAGATGGCCGGAAGGTCATTCAGATATACTGGCTGGGGTACCCATACCCCAGACATCTGCAATTACAAGGACCAAGTGAGAAGCTATCTGGAGGATAATGCATACAAGTATGACAAGGAATTGAAAGATTTCCAAGAGACATTGGGCATAGGATACAAGCCAAAAGACAGTTGGGGAGCAGAACCCAAGAAGCCCAAGAAAAGTGAAGAGGCAAAGGCTGAAGAAAAGACCGTGAAGAAGACAGAACAGAAAGATCCAAAGAAGAAGAAGCCAGTGGAAAAGTCCAAGAGCAAGGACAAGGACAAGGAGAAGAAATCTGACAAGACTGAGAAGACAAAGAAGGTTGAAAAGGAGAAGAAGCGTAAGAGCGTATCTCCGTTCGATCAAGAAAGAGCTGAGAGACGCCAGTGGAATGAGCAAGAGCTTATGTAAACTGCGGCGACGGTTTAAAGAAGCAAGAAGAGTGAGGGCGTTCACAAAGACGCCCAGCAAGGCGAAAGTGAGGCTGAGATCAGCCAAGGCAAACGTTTCACAAAAGAAAAAGGCAGAAGCCACGAGGATAGAAAATCCCACGGCAACGACAAAAGCCACGTGGACGAAAGTCCCACGGCAACGTCAAGTCACTACGAGCACCACGATGAATTCAAAAGCCAATGTTTACAGAAAGGACTAAAGACAAAAGTCCGACAAAAGTTTCCAGATTGCCGAAGGGCACGGATGGACTACGACTACCTCGCGTACAGCGACGTACAGAAAAAGTGAGTGTGCATGTAGAGTGGAGTGAGTCCATGCCAAATGTGTGTGGAAAGCAATTCGCAAATCTGCTATAGGACATCAGAAGAGTGAGGATGAAGACCAAAGGAAGAAAACGCTAAAGATGTCCCACAAGTGCTTAAAGAAGCTGCGAGAAGTGAAGATGAAGGCTCATAGGAGCATGCGAAAACAGAAGAAAGAGTAGTACAAAAGTTAGGAAAAAGTTTCACAGAATCACGTGACACGACAATGCTGTGTACGTGATGAGGGCGTAACAGAATGTTCAATTTTCCCTCATGCCCGATTTAGCACCAGTTTCACTGCGTATCTCCGTAGGTCAAACGTAGGCTCAAGACAGCCTGACAGCAGAGCGAGTAGTGAGAAAAGATTCCGAAGCTCGCGCCGTGCTGTGACAAGGATACTGGTTTAAGGGTTTAAACTTTCAGGCAAGCAGCAGCACACCCACGCCGAGTGTTGCCGTGCATGTGAAAGTTGAGGGTTCTACGGTTTCGCTAGCTAGTCCCGAACCTGCCGAAAACCCTAAGCTTAGCAAGCCCACTGCAGAAAGTGCCACCAGTGCGTCCAGCAGCGCAGCAGCGCGTGCCGATGATCATGATGCTCCAGACCCCAGTGCAAGCTCTTCGAGTGCCGGTGCGATGCCGAAAGCAATGTCTTTCCCGCCTCCGAGGCACGTTATCGATGAGTGGAGGGCCGAGCAACTTGTATGGGTTACCAAATCCAGAGGCAAGTCATATCATGACAGGCGGACATGTGGAACGCTTGGGAACGCAAAGGCACTTGAAAGGATCAGCAGGCAAGAAGCCATCAATCGAGGTTTCAAGAAGTGCAAATGTTGTTACGGCAGTACTTGAAGTAATGCTCATGATGCGCCAATCCATGGGTTCATTGCTTTGGCATTGAGCCGATCGGTTGGATCTTGTACAAAGGCCGCGAAACGAGTGTACATAGACTTGTTGAGCAGAACTTGTCTCCACCATTTTGGTGGCAATACCGCATTGACTTACCAACCACTGAGCCAGCTGTGGAGCAGCTGGGTGTCTTCATAGGTAGGCATCGTGCCACCTGATGCATATAGGCATCGCAATCCTTGTGTGCGGATTCCATAGGAATACCGACGTCTTGATGGGGCAGCTGCGAGCTGCATGAAACCCACTTGAATGATCCTTGTGTTACTTGTATGCCGAGGGCAAAACTTGAACCTTGGAAGCGCCTTCGCTTGGGTGAGTCAAGCCCTATCACTTCGTCGGCTGCTCCTAGCCTTCTGAAGTGGTGTAACTAGTCGTAGTTGTACAGTCCTACGTAGTTGTAGCAGTTGAGCCAACGACCCTTAGAGGCAGAGCTCGAGAACGCGCAAACTTTCTCATGAGTGCAGTCGTGAACTAGTGTATTTGTTTGAGCAACGGAGAATCATGGTACAGAAACCCATGCCAAGGCCATGAGAGTCTGTAGGCGGGGTGTGTATGATTTCTCCATGTAGCATACTGTATTGTGATGTATCTGTTTTATCGTTGTTGCACTCATTTTCACTTGAGCATGCGAAAGATTTGTTGATTATCCGCAGGCGTTCTTCAGAGTCACAAAAGATTTTCAACTTCATATCACTCCACCGGCCAAAAGATCTCGGCTGGAACCCTCTCTCCGATTGGGTGGCCTGCCGCCACCTCCGCCGCCCGCACTGCCACGCAGTCTGACCGGAGCAACGGCTAAGCAATCCATCTTGGCTAGCTCGCACAAAAGCAGACGATGCACGCCAAGGCCGTTGCCATCTGCACAGCTGCCACTTGCACCGCCTAAACCCCGCAGGGTTAAACACAAAAGCATGCGAAGCTCCCTTGAGTCGCGCATGCAAATTTGTGGCACCCTTTGGCTGCAACTAGTGTACAGACTAGGCGCAGCTTCGATACTTCTGCAGTCAGTAGAAGCAGCAAAGCATGCCGCGGATAATTTGCTGGCGGTTATTCGTAACAACACGCCAGGCACGCTCGAAAGATACCTTCGCATTGCCTCGCTTTTTATGGGTTTCCTAGATAGCTCAGGCGTAAATTTCCTTGATGTCAGCCTGCACTGCCTTTTAGATTTTCTGGCACTTGCCAGAGCTTCGCATAGCCAGGACCTAGAAATTCACCGCATAAGCGCCAGCTCTTCAATCAAAGCACTGCGCTGGTTTGTTAAGCAAGCTCAATGGCTCTGCCTGGGCAATGCACTAGACAGCCCAGTAATTCGGGCGTATTCCCTCGTGGCACCGCCAAAGACCGACGCGAAGCACTTCCCATCCCCTGGGCCTTGGTCGCAGCCTGGGAACAACGCGTATGCGACGCAAATACGCCGCTGACTACCATCCTTGTGTTGGGAGCCGCACTGCTAGCCATACACGCAAGCTTGCGCTTTGGCGACTTGCAACGGATAGATTTCACCAGCCTGTCGCTTTCGACTACAGCACTGCACGGCACCTGCTGGGCGACAAAAACGACAACGCACGGCCAGCCGTTCGCGGTCACTCTAGCCGGAATAACCGGCAGGAGCATGGCAACCTGTTGGACCTTACACTGGCTATCCGCACTGCACAAAGTTACGTCATCCTTTGAGGACGCACTGCCTGATTTCCTTTGGCTTAGCGCGACACTCGACCAAAATTCCCTGGAAGAGATCGCACCAGCCTCATACTGCACCGCATTGCTCAGCCTTCGCTATCTAGCCACGCTCCCATGGAAAGTCAGTGGCAGCGGCCTCTTGCCTAGCGAAGCCAAACAACTCACACTGCATAGCATGAAAAGCACCCTTCTCGCGGCAGCAGCCCAACTCCGAGTTTACAAAGAACTCCGCCTAGCACAGGGACACCACAGAGACAGCGCCAGGCTTTACAGCAGGAACGACACGTTTGACAGTCTCGACTTGCAACACCGCCTTGCATACGCATTCAGCACAGGATGGAGGCCCAACCGAAGCGTCGCTAGAGGCGGGCAGGCGCCGGTGCCGGAGCCTCCTTTCTCTCTCCCTCCAGGCGAACCCCTTGCCAGCATCTCACCGCAAGAGGTCCTGGCGGGCCCCTGGAAAGCCTTCGCGTCCAGGCATGAAACACTGCACGCCTCATCACAGCCTCCTCTTGAGCCTACGCAACTCGGCCCCGCAACGCAACCAGCAACGCAAAGCTCGCAAGATGTCATCGAGCAATTTTCCGCAGATTCGCCAGACCCCATAGCACCTTTCTAGGCGTCTCGGCTTCCAGTCCTTTCGCATGTGCACGGTGGTTTTTCAGGATGTACTTCGCAAGCTTGGCATGGTACGTTCTAGTTTCACAGTTTTTGCTTAGGGGCTACTCCGCCCTTCAGAGATCAGCGGGCTCCCAAAGGGCTACCCCGCTACTCCGCACGCCAATGTCGGGGCAGACGGAGCAGGAGAGGTTGGCGCGTCAGTTGGCGCTGGCATCGAGACAGTACAGTGAGCAGGCGGAGCTCACGGCGCAGCCGGTCTACTCCGCCACGCAGACCTTGTTTTTCGAGGAGAGGCGCGCCAACAAGAGAGGACCGCCAACGCCTTCTATGTCGTCGATGGGCACGCCGGGAGGACCTATGGGAGTAGGAGGTGCGCAGACCACCCCGACTACTCCGCAAGGCCGGCAGTCGCTTTTTCAGCCCATTCCGCTCGACCAGGAGGCTTCTATTCAGGCCACGGCTTTTGCAGCCGGAGTGGAGGCCAACGACCCGGCCAATGTGAAGCGCTGGTTGGGGGAGGCTATTACTACGCGCCAACAGGTTCTGGAGACAGTTCGCCACTACCACACCGCAGTACTACGCCCAGAGCTGTACAATATGATCACCCAGGTTGAGCATGCTTTGGTGGCTTTCGACGACCGTCTACTCCGCCAAAGCAAGGAACTGAGCTGGATGGTTTCGGAAAATCGTACCACGCAGAGGCAGCAGGCGGCACTGGTCGTCATCCTGACAGGGTGGTCTAACACTATGCCACCAGAGGACAGGCTCTACATGGTCACCTGGTTGCTACAGCAGGTCACGGCAGTTCGCCATTTTCTGCAGACGCGAGGATACAAGCTGGACGACGACTCCGCCGACAAGGTTTGGCTGAACTGCCTTACCACCGACCCGTCCACTCCGCCAGCAGGAGAGGGGAAATGGAGCAATATTACTTTGATCCATTTCAAGAGTTGGGACCTTCGTCGTGCTTTCATGGAGCAACATGGAGGGTCTTCTGGAGTACCCCTCTACCAGGATGGGTCTACTCCTATTCGGGGCCACCACATTCGAGCAACACCTTCGTCACCACAATTCCAACGAAAGCTCGAGATACCCATACGGGTAATCCTGCAGGCCCTCAATGTGCAGTCTGGGCAGCCTTCTCAGGTCGTTATCCTGTGGAAAACCCTGACCATAATGGCTCCACAGGAGGTCAGGGCTTTCGATCCACAGATCAAGGCGATGGCAAGGCTCCACTACTACTCCTCCGACGACAAGCTCCAGGGCACACTCGAGATCACCACGGACCTCTTCGAGATCCTCAATGCTACTCCGCCAGCTGAGCTCATGACCGATGAGCCCAGCATCTGGACTTATTGTTGGAACAAGGTGGTGTTCGGCCCGCAGCACGAGTTGGACGTTGCTGAGAGGGATCTTTTTAAACATGCCGCGGGAGCAGCCAAAGGCAGCTCCAAGGGCATCAGTGTTGGGAAGGGTGGTCGGCATTGGACGGCCCCTCTCATCTACTCCGCCCAGCTCAATCCCTTCCCGATTGATTTGTACATTTCGAAGGTCTCGGACGTCGCTTTTGTATGGGATGAGTACTGCGACAAGTTCAAGGAGACCAGCTCCAAAGTGGGCAGCTACAAGCAGGCTACTTACCAAGGTGCGCCGGCTGTGGCTACTCCGCACGAGGGGGCCTCTTTCAACTCCGACGGCCTTTGAAAGGTTTCGTCGAGAATTCGCGAGAAAGCCACCCTGGCTACTCCGCTCCACCTTTTGGTGGCCAGGCAATGGCTGCAGTTGCTCCTCGAGGCCGCCCCTTTGAAATTTTCTGTTGAGCCAGAGCGCGGAGCGTTTGAAGTTTTCTACTCCGCCGCCGGCTCAGGCAGGCCTCGGGTCGAGCGACCCAGTTTCCCAGGGCATCTGAAGGATGGTACCCTAATCCCAGGCCCTTAGCTTTTAGGTTTGGTTTAGTGTTCGGGCTTAGTTTCTCTACTCCGCCAAAGATCCCTGGACACAGACCTCGCGGCTGCACCTTTTCTTTTAGAGCGATCGCCGATTGGAGGGCTACTCCGCAACAAATAGGTTGGAACCGGGAACCTATAAGGCGTAAGGAGCATAGGAGAAAACCACGCAAACACTCCGCCCATTCTAAATCCCCTCACCTTTGGCATATAGCAAGACTTTATTCTGTTGTTGTATTTGCCGTTTACTACTACACCGCCTTTAATAGGAACACACTTCCCATTGTCATAGGGGACGCAGCCATTGTATACTCCACTAGTTTATCGGTGCTTAACTGCCTCGGCGGCCTTCCGAGAGTACTCCAAAACCTACGAAATAAACTGCAACACTCCCTTAACGGCAACCATGACCCTCCCACGACCATACTGCTAGACAACCTCATCCCGACTACTCCGCCGGACGCGCCCATGAACCCCTTGAGCCCTGATAAAATCAAGCTTTCAAGGGATTTTCTGTTGGAGTTTAGAGCGACCCCAGCCTCACAGACCATTATCTCTCTAGGCCCCAGACCTAAATTCAGAACTGGTAGAAGGAGGGTTTTTCAGGGACAGGACGGTGTTAAACACTTCTTCTCCCACAGACCACTCCGCACTTTTACTGGCACACGCCACCCCCGCAGACCTTTTAATTCATCGAATTCGTTTGTAAAGGATCAGGCCACACCGCCTCCCAGAGGCACGCCGGGAGCTGCCACGGCAGCAAACAAAGAGTGTTTGCCCCACCCCCCCCTCCCAACATTCCTTCTTTAGGAAGGGGCATCAGAGTACGCCGCGAGCGGCGACGCCGCTACCGCCAATGGCGTAAGCTCTTGAAGGAAACCATATTGCCAACGGCGCCGGACAACGCGTTGGTAAGGAGGGGGGCGTCCTTGAAAGCAGTACAAAGCTTTCGCCGAAGAGGTCACAAAATGGCTAAACTGTTTCGCGCGCTTGTGGACAAGAGAGAGTCGAAGGGCAAATTTCAGGGAAAGCCGCAGACTACTCCGCAAGCTACTCCGCCACTCCCATATGGAACACCCTTGAGGGTAGGAACTCAGAACGTTCAGGGAATGGCAGAATTGCTGAAACATGAAGCTGTTTTAGGATTGGTTAGGGATAGATCCCTGGATTTGCTATTCCTTTCCGAAACACATGCCACCACTTACCATCAATATAAATCCTCAGGACACCTTTTTATAGTTAACGGTAACAACAAAGACAAGTACGGAGGAGTTACCGCAGTCCTACCACCACGCACTCTACCTTTCCTGAAAAGCATCACACAACATGGCAGTAGAATCCTGGAAGTAGTTCTTAGCTCTAGCTCTGGAGACAAACACTTCATAGGAGTCTACGCCCCCCACAACAAACGGGACCAGGAAACCTGCAAAGCTCCCTTTTGGACTCACTTAGAAAACATTGTCAGTAACATTCCCCAACCTGAACCTGTTTATATTCTGGGAGATTTCAACGTTCGACTTCAAGGGCGCTACAAGGATGAATCAGATTTTCTAGGTCCTTATGTGTACGGTAAAGGTCCTTTACACATTCGTAATGAAGAAGGCAGCAACCGACGCTACTACGCAGACCTCCTTAGAGGAGAGGGACTTAAGGACATCTTAACCTTCAAACAGCCCAACCTTACAAAGCACGTCACCTATCGAGATAAGCACCCGCCCCCTACAGATTGGCTCCAATTTGCTAGCGACCCCATAGGATGGACCCAGTTCTGGGATAAAATATATAGTCTTCCTCAAGCTGACCCAGACAATCTTTGCCTCGCAGCCAACATCAGAGACTACATTACGGATTCATGGCCCATACCGGCACAGCTACTCCGCCCACAGGTAGACCCCTTGCGCTTCCAATCCCTAGACAGAATGGTCACTAGACAGAAGTGGCTACCCACAGTATTATCCTGCCAAGCCTTCCACAAAGCAGGGTTTCCCAGTGATCATGACCTCCTAGAGTCCACAATAAGGGTTAAGCTTTCTGCCCGCCCACCTCCAGTACTCCTGCCCCCTAAGCGAGACTACTCCGCAATCACCCCCCAACAACGCAAACATTTCAACCAAAGCTTTCGTGTGGCTATGGGCCACCCTTCCCCAGACTACTCCGCCACTTCTTCTTCCCATTGGGAAATTTACACAGATGGCTCGGGCTCCTCCGGCAGATGTTCGGCCACTACTCCCGCAGGTTGGGGTTACGCTATCATAGAAGACGATGAGGAAATAGCCACCTCTCACGGTCCGGTCACCACGGACACGCGCTCAGTATATTATTTAGGCGCAGTCGTAGGCAGCAACAACACAGGTGAATTAAGTGCTTTAATGGAAGCGGCTTTGCACATCCTTTCTTTGACTACTCCGCCACAAACCATAACGTTTCACTACGACAGCAAATGGGCAGCAGATATGATGCGCGGTCACACCAGACCAAAGCGTCACAAAACAATGGTCAAAATAGCAAAGGACATCTGCACGACTTTAGAAACCAAGCACTCCGTACAATGGCATTGGATCAAGGGTCACAGCGGCAACGAATACAATGAACGCGCGGACGAACTCGCAGACAAAGGCAAGACCGCGTCACGCCCGACAGGAGGGAGATCCTCGCTCCCTCATTTCGTACGCCCCAGCAACCTCAACCTCACCACTCCGCCAGCTCTAGCGCAATCAACTGATGAGCTTTCAGCCCACCTAATCAGTTCCCTACAAGCCGCCGAACGCTCCACCCTCCCCCTTCTCGAACATCTCCCCAAGCAGCCCTGGATTACTCCTCAACTAGCAGCCGACATAGCCAAGGCCAAACAACTGCGCTCCAACCTGGACCCCGAACATATCGCTTTTTACAAAGCCCTTAAACGCAAAGCACGCAAACTCAAAAGGGACTGGCTCAGAGACTCTTTTCTAGAGGATACTAACCTCAGCCACACAGCGGTATGGACCAAGGCCCGGCGCCTTAAAAAAGGATTCCAGCCCAGACACACCAGGCTCAAACACAACGGCAAACCAGTACCGTGGCACAAAACCCACCAAACCTTTCGGGACCACCTAGACCAACAACAATGGGGAAAAACTACGGTCACCGCGGAAGAAAGAACACTTCTCGCTGAATCTCCGCTGCTCAATCCTCCCCCTACCACTCCGCCCAGCTCATTCACACATGAAGAATTAACCGAAGCTATCCAGCAGCTGCGCAAAAACAGAGCTCCGGGGTTAGACACCCTCAGAGCCGACTCCATCAAACTGTTAGATCACTTTGGGGAAAAACAGCTACTCCGCCTCTACAACGCCTGCTTGCGCCAGGGTAGAATACCTGCAGCATGGAAGGAGGCCCTGGTCGTCAGCATATACAAAGGTAAAGGCCCCACCTCAGATCCTGCCTCATATCGCCCTATCAGCCTTCTCAACGTCTTTTATAAAATTTACGCAGCAATGCTTCAAAAAAGACTAGCTGAGGCGCACGATCACTCACTCCGCCACACGCAGTTCGGCTTCCGCCGAAACAAAGGAACAACGCAACCACTTTTCATTCTGCGCCGGCTACAAGACTACTCCGCCAAAACAGGTCAGCCATTTCAGTTGCTGTTTTTAGATTGGAAGCAAGCCTTTGACAAGATCGACCATGAATCCATGCACATAGCACTACTCCGCCTTGGGGTTCACCCTGTTTACCTCGAAGTCATTAAGGATATGTATACCTGCCCGACCTTCTGCACATCTGCTCCTGATGGTACTAAGCACTGGGGTACTCCGCACACAGGTATTCGGCAGGGATGTCCACTTAGCCCTTATTTATTCATCATGGTAATGACAGTACTCCTTTCAGACGTTGACGCTAGACTCCGAACACATGGCGTTCCACAAAACACATGGTCGGTAGGCAAGCCCATCTACGATTTAGAGTACGCGGACGATACTCTACTTATGGGTGTCACGGGTGCACAATTAGAGGAGATCCTGAAAGCTGTCCAGGTAGAAGCCACCCTTTACGGTCTGCAGCTAAACTTAGAGAAAACCGAGCTACTCCGCCATCCCACTCAGCCAGGGCAACTCCAGTACGCAGATAACTCTCCTGTACCCTTAAATTCCGAAACCAAGTATTTAGGATCACAGGTAACTTGGGACAAGCCAACCAAATCCGCAATCGCAGCCAGGTCTATTAAAGCTCACGCAGCCTTCCTAAAGCTCCAACATGTATGGCAGAGCAGACTACCCCGCCCAGTAAAATCTAGAATCTTCCACGCCTGCATCGTCCCAGTATATACGTACGCCTTGGAAACTCTTACCCTTGAAAAGCACCACTTCAGAACCATAGACGGCTGGTATTTTAGGTACCTCAGAAGAGCCATCAACATCAAAGCCTCATACTACTCCCGGATCCCCAACAAAACCGTATGGGAAAATTCAGGAAAACATCCCATCCCTTCCCAAACTCTTTTGTCGCAACAGTTCAAGCTCCTTATACAAGCCACGACTACTCCGCCACACCTCCCCCAACACCATGTAGTATTCTCCCCCGGGTACAAAGATCGCATCAAATTTACTAAATCAAGACACAGAGGCCATCCCGCAAGGTATTGGTTCGAACTAGTCTCCTCACATGCGTTAGAATACTTGAACCACTACCTAGACCACTCCGCCCAATATAAGGACCATAGACGGGATTTCCTAGGTTTCAAACAAATGCTACAGAAAAACAAGCTCTTCGGCGATCGCTTGAGTACTGCGCCTACGCGCGCTTCGCATATTTTCCAGTTGTAAAGACAGTCGGCAGCGCTTGGCACTCCTAAAAAATAGCACCTTTCTCGGATGAGGAAGCATGGATGGTGGAAAAGGCGGCGGCCCTGCGCCGCGACAGCTCGGACTCGTCGAGTGACGTGTTCTCCGTATCCTCCAAGGAACCTCTGCAGATTGATGTGGAAGGCCCCGCGCCGCTCTTCGCATGCACCGGGCCTTGGGATGTTGGCATTCCCTCTGCCCCCCGGACGCATCAGGCGTGTGGAATTAAGCTGGGCACAGCTGCATTTACTTCCAACGCACCGCCGCAGCCTCTTTGCCGTCGCTCGGCCTGTGTCGCACTTCGCAATGGAGCATAGGACAAAAAGCGCTGCAACTGGCCGGTCTAACAAGTCTTTCCTGTGTTTTCTCGCCTGACTCAGCTAAGGTACTCACGCCGTGCGCCGCCAGCTTGTTGCACTGCACTTCTGTGGTCTTGTCTCTTGAACGCACGATCCGCAGCCGTTTTTTGTGCTCGAATCTCCAAATCATAAGTTTTTCTCTAGTCTGCAGGATGGAGTCTCCAGATGCCAGACGCACTCTCGGAACTCCTTTCACAGATGCAAGCGCCCGAGGCACTTTGCAACGCATTGCACAGCACAGGCATTGAATCAGTGCCCGATTTTGCCTTCGCCTACAACAGCACCGCGGACCTGGACGTCTTCTGCTCTGAGAAATATGAAGAATTATGGACAGAGCTGGGGATCGCAGACCCAGAGCAAAGCCCCGCAATGGCACGTCTCCGCAGAGCCCTACGCAGAGCACAGTCCTTGACAGAGGTGGCGGATACACCCGCCTCGCAAAGCTCAGAAAGCCATGCCCAAGCATCGCTCAATGTCTGGGCAGAACACGCACCGCCACGCTTGGACGCTTCCAGCATTGCACAGCTTGTCAAGGACTTCCACACCAACTACCCTGGTGAACACCTTGACAGCGACGCCATGCCTAGCGTGCGCTTGCGCAGCATTATCCATAGATGGTTTTCCCCAGGAAACTCCATCAGCTGGGTGCCCTGGCAACTCCGCTTGTCGGAGAAGCAATACCAAGAGCTCATTGAAAGCAAAGCATCGCGCACCATCCGCACTGAAGCAGCCTTTCTCAGCACCGCACTGTTTGATGATACACCGGAAATGCCGGTAGATCATCTCAGACTCAGCGCTGCCTGGCTCGGCAGAATTCAAACAGTCTTCCGCAACGCCATAGCATTGTGCAAGGGAGCGCACCTGCCACGCCTCAAGGCATACGACAAAAAGATCTTAGATCTGGCGACGCAATCGCCCAGCGACGCATCGCTACGCACCGTCACTACGCGAGAGCTCGTCGCAGCCGACCGCAAGCTCTGGAGGGAAATCTCCCTCTTGCACGGCACCGGATGGACACTGGATGACGCCTTGCACGAAATGACAAGCATCCGCTCGGACATAGGTAACCTTCTTCAGCTGCGAGCCCGCCCTCCCCCACCCCCGCAGAAGCCACCGCCTCGTTTTCCGCACAGGGCAAAGGAAAAGAAAAAGGAGGCAAAGGCAAGCAAGGCACACAGCCAGGCAAACGGCGCACGCCCGGAGACGGCACCGCTCAGGAGGTCAAAACCTCCGACCTCGTGCAGCAGCACGGCAGCAAGACTTTCTGCATTCGGTTTAACAAGGGGCAGTGCAGAAACGCGCAATGCAAGTACCTGCACGCATGCGCATACAAAATGCCTAATGGCGAGCCTTGCGGAAAAAACCATCCAGCTTGTCAGCATCGCAGCTGGGCCCGGCCGGGCAGGTCCAGTTGCCTACGGCTTCTCCCCCGGTTGCACCGCCGGGGGCCAACTCGCAAGGCACGGTCCCTGCGCAGTCGCAAAATTCTGGCGACCCTGCACCGCATCACACCAATCAAGCAGAGCAACTCCCGAAGGCAACCAGTTCGGCGTCGGACCTGATGCAGCAGCAATTTACAACTGCCTCGCACAGCTCGGAGTATACAGTTCTTCAGACGTAGATGAAGACATGCCGCCAGCAGCCAGGCACAGATTCCTTCTGCACAGCATCCCAGAGGATCCTTTTACCTGCGATAGAATACAGTACGAGGCACTGTCATCGCCACATTTCCTAGATGATAAGCTGTACGCAACGTGGCACAGCTTAGTCTGGTCGGGGGCATTAGGCTCAGCACTGCTCATATTCCCCACGCAGACATTTGATTTGGCCTCGCGTACTAGACTTTGCGCTTTGCTGCACGCAGCGCATCTGCAAGGCAGCCAGGTGTTCTTCGAGTATCCAAAGCCATGCGAAGACAAAATCGCACAGCTGTACATACAGCTCTGCCAAGAATTGGCAGTGCACTGCATCCAACTGCGCCTGCCGCAGAGCGCAGCAACGCATATCATATGCTCAACGCACTCGTCCTTAACTGCTGTGGTGCAAAGTAAGGACCCCTATACATACCTCCTGGATATAGCATCCCAGGAATGCACCTCGCATTTGCACTCTCTACCTGCCTAGCTGTTTTTTGCCGCGTAGACCCGCGGTCTGCGACGGCGCTGGAATGTTCAGCACCGCAGATCACTCTGCCAACAATACAAGTAATATGCCTAAGCCCCTAGCAAAGCTAGCTAAGGCCTTTCAGCGGTACCTTAGTAAACGCGGCCTTGTATCCCACATCTCCCAGCACCTCCGAACCGGAGCAGACTCGCACCCTCTCGACGAGGAACACCGCACAGCTCTTGCGCATATCATGCATGAGATCATGGCGCCGCACAGCAACAAAGACCAGTTTCTTAAAATTTCAGAAGGACAGACCTTTCGCCTAACTGCGCTGCAATACTTAGCGCAAGCATTGCAAGACAAAGATTCCCAGTTGCCTATCATGCTGGCGGAGGGTGTGCCCACGGGAGCCTTTGGGGCACTGCCAAGCAGCGGCCAGTGGCCCCCTGCGCAAAGCTCACTGGACTTCGCTGATGAATTCAGCCCCGCCTCGCTTGAGCACTGCAGAGGCAACTGGCTGTTGGCAGAGAACAACCCTGCATTGCTGCAAGAGCTGGTGGACGAAGAAGTTCGTAAAGGCTTCGTCGCCAAATTCGAGGGCACCGAAGAAGACGCAAAGCGCAAATGGCAGCAAGGCACTGCCATAGGCAAACTTAACATCGTCATGGCAGAAGGACGGGACCCTCGTCTCGTCCTGGACAGCACAGTTTGCGGCCTCAATCCAGCAGTGCACCTGCCTGAAAGAGTGTCTTTGCCCACGGCGTCAGATGTGCAACGCACTTTCTTGAGTGACGACTGCTACGCACAGCTGTACGCACTGTCACTCGATTTCAAGGCAGCGCGCAAGTGCTGCAAGGTTCACCCTGAAGATCAAGGCACCTTACTCTTTAGGGTGGGCAACGCTTTGTATTGCTATAAAGTCTGCCATTTCGGTGCACGTTTCTCAGCATACTGGTGGCAACGCACCGGCAGCCTTCTGCTCAGATGCATACACGCACTGCTTTGCGATTATCCGCATCGAGCATGGCTCTATGTGGATGACCTCCTCGCTCTGCTATGCACCGCGGATAAGGATATGGCAGCGGCACTCATAGTTGCATTGCTGTCAGCCTTGAATGCACCCATTAGCTGGAAGAAAGCACAATTCTCGCAAGAGGTCACGTGGTGCGGTTGGACCATACGCACGGACGCAGAGACCATTGAGCTCCGCGAGCTCAAACTGCAAAAGCTCCGCGAGCAGCTCCTGTCACTGCAACAAAGAAGCAAAGTACAGCGCAAAGAACTTGAGGGGGTACTAGGCCTTCTTAACTGGGCAACGTCTTTGAGCAAGCACATGCGACCATTCATGGCACCGCTGTACAAAGACTTGCATAGCTGCAAGGGCACTCTGCACAGCATCTCCCCGAGTATGTGGGGAAGTTTCTTGGACAGCCTAGACAAGAACGCCAAGCTTACACGCACACCAGCGGGCACATGGCTGCCACGCAATGCACAGCTACTAGAGGTAGGCAGCCTCAAAATATCCAGTAAGTCAGACGTGCCACCGGTGCCGCCGTCGCACAAGCATCAATGGGTGCGCCTGGCCGACCCGCACCGCTCTGAAGTACATTGTACTTTTGCGCCATGAAAGCAAGTTTGTGCTGGCGTGGCTACAGCACTTCTTCTCACACGAGCAGCCGCGCTCGCTGCGCACAGCTCCGCGCATGCACTGTCACAGCGCTGCGGACGCCTTTGCAGATACGCACCGCATGGGCATCGGGGGCTGGATCAGCACATCCGACTCTTTTCTTTGGTTCAGCGCCATCTTCTCGGCTGAAGATGTTCGCAAGCAATGGCCGCAACTGCAATTCAGCCTGCAGCCATACATTGGGTGCTTCGAAGCACTCGCGCAGCTTGCGCTGGCTCAATGCTCATGGCAACTGCTGCGCAGCAAGCAAGTACCCTTTGTCCTGCCCACGGCATCGGACAACACCAGCGCCGAATCCGGTCTCATCAAGCTCTTTAGCACTGCAGAGCCGCTGGGAACTTTTCTTCGCCTCGCAGCCACCTGGGCACACTTGCACCGCGTGCAATTCGAGGTCGAGCACCTCGCTGGAGAGAAAAATGTGTGGGCCGACAAGCTTAGTCGAGGCTCCACTGAATTCCTTCAGCATCGCACTGCTGACAAGGTTGAAGTGACGCTAGCGCAACTAGCCTCCGCATCGCATTGCGTGACACTGCACGACCTCTCGCTTGAGTGGCCGCAACAGCTCCTTGACGCTCAGCACGCTATGCTCAAATGAAGAAAAAAGGAGTGACGCGTCCCTCTTTGAGTTTACTAGTGCGCTTCACTGCTCAGCTCCCCCTAATGTCGCCTCGCCAGGTACATCCGCCGAATCGCGCGGTGAGGGGAAAATAGAGCAAAGATTGAAGGATGCACCTGAAGTGGGGGAGAGCTCGGCATCGCATGCCTCTTTCTCCTACGGCGAGCAATGCCTCGCACAGCATCGCATCCTTAGCAATCTCTGCGGCAAAAAAGGATTGGTGACAGAACGCTCTGCAATGCAATCCGTTTGTCCATTCGAAGTAGTTTAGAGAACGCTAGTTGTGAGTTTGTTTTTTGTATCAGCTGTGTTTTCTAACTTGTGTCGAATGTTGCTGTTGTTCCGCACTGCTTCTTCGGCACAAGCTCTCACAACTAGCTTTCTCTTTTTTCACCCGCCCCCCACGCCCTGGGGGAGAGCTCGGCATCGCATGCCTCTTTCTCCTACGGCGAGCAATGCCTCGCACAGCATTGCATCCTTAGCAATCTCTGCGGCAAAAAAGGATTGGTGACAGAACGCTCTGCAATGCAATCCGTTTGTCCATTCGAAGTAGTTTAGAGAGGCTGCAGTTTTTGGCTCGAGGTGGCAACAGCACTTGAGTTGTTGAGCTGTGCACATGGGACAAATTTGATGTCCGAGCCATGTCATCCAAAATTGTCGAGTCCCATTTTGCCATCAATTATATATCCATGATTCCGTTTAAACAGCATCTTGGTTGTGCCTCGGTTTAAGCAGTCGCGGACACTCCGGTCCAAAACGAATCAAAAGAACTGCCGGGGGTCACCTTGAAGGTTTAGTCTCCAGTTTTCCTTATACACGTCACCCTTTTATGGACGCAGTTTCAGCGAAACGGGTACAAGAGAATTCAAGATGGACGGCATCGGTTCAAACAGTTGGCAAACGAAGCGGGGCAAATTATGGCCCCGGACTCGGCCAAATCTGGAACAGCCTCAAGGCCACGCTCCCTGAACAGCCCACCACGCGCCGCCAACACCAACATGGGGCCAAACTCATGTTCCAAAACTGTTGACCCCTCGCTGTGCTGGGATTGTGATAGTAACCACGCTTGTGATCCTTACAATATCATTTTCGATGTCTAGCAAAGCATGCGCAGTCCAGCTTCTGTGAAGGTGCAACGCTGCACGGAGTGCAGGGAATTTGAAACGTGTTGGCCTTCTTGGGTGTTCGACCGCAGCACACGGTTTTGGCCAGTGTTGCCTCTGCTGCTGTGGCAGCTGCTGTGATCATGGACCGGGACTTGTACATGATGTATGTGAGAGCATTGGAAGTCTTGCACTTGGGGCTGGGGAATTACGTGATTGCTGAATGCTCGCTTGTAGCGCTGGTGTGTTTGCATCTTTGTGACGGTTGAGGAGCGCCGCGCGCAGGGGTTGGTTGCCATGCTCGCCGTCCTGCTGACGTTCGATGCTCAGTTAGTCTGAAGCGCTATCATCTTCCCCGTCGTTTGGGGTAGCCAGGTTCGGCACCGTCGCCGCCACCGCTTTTGTGCAAAGCAGGCAACTGAAAGGGTCTTTCGGAGTAGTGTCGTCGGCCTTGGGAGCAGGCCGGGAGCATCTTCCGAGCCAAGTGTGCACTCGAAGAGTCTGGGCGACGCTCCACAGCCGCTGCCAGAAGTCTCTCGGCGAGTTTGGTCTGGAAAAGCATACAGAACCTGCTTCGGCGATCGGAGACCAGGAGACGCCGTTTCACTGGTTGTCGTCGGCATCTTCACACGCCTTGACGGCCGGAGCCGTCCTGGGCCTTGTCCTGGCTTTGGCGCAGGCCCAGTTCTGACACTCCGGTTCCGGGCGTGTCGTTATGCGCTGGAGGCACCGGCGGTCCGAGCCGAAGACAGGTGGGCTAAGGGCTTCTCCTCCAGGTCTCGGCTTCTTTGCTGCGACTCTGACCTTTTCGCAGGTACGCTGACGTGGAGTCTCAGGTGCGCCCCGACACGCGTGTTTGCGAGCAGCCTCGATGGGTTGTAGTTGCTGGTACTTCAGGTGGTGCTTGCTGCGAGCCCAGCCAGGGAGAAGGCCAAGAAGGAGCTGCTCGCCGCCGCCTGAGATCGTAAGTCCACGCCGCTTGCCGGCTCGCTGCATGCCTGGAGAATTCCTACCGTCAGGCAGATGCGAAGAAGGTGGACGAGTTCACCAAGACGAAGGCAGGGCATTGCAGAACCTGCCTCCAAAAAGCATGCGTGACACGAGAGAAATTGTTTAACGTGGCTCTTCAGGTGCGCACCACCAAGGACACCGGGGCCGAGATCGAGGGCGTCTTGCTTCCAAAGCATTGATGTGACACGCTCCTGAACATTCTTGAAGCATGCTGCATGCAGGATGCTCTCCTCAAGTACACAGAGGGCTCCGCGACGGATGCTCCACGACTGCAACTGCAAAAGACAATGACCCCTAAATTATGACTATGACCCCTTATTTGAGTTTTTTTCAGAAGTGTGCAGTCAAATGACGTCAGTGCCAGGCCCTGGGCACTGAGTTCAACGATGTGCGGCCGAGGCTCGGCGTTGATTACGGCCCAGGCCCAGACTCGGAGGTTCTCGGGTTCTTTTTCTCTGAGACAGTTCCCGGTGCAGACTCCGTGTACTAAGGACCCGGTCGAAGGTGCGCAAGAGCCTGCAGAAGGAGCCTTGCCAGTCGGAAACTGTTGTTGAGACCGTCACAAGTCACAAGCGCCCGGTTTTGCTGGCAGGAGTCCGGTGGCTTCAAGCTCGCGGGCCTGCCGGATCTGCCTTCCTTCGGGCTCCCCTCCCTGCCTAGTGCTCCGGCCAGGGCCTTAGCAGAGCTCGAGCCGTCTCGGCCTTTGCTGCCTGGCGCCTTTTCTGAGGGCGTCGCTGCGCCGGAGCTCAGCGGCGACGCGGGTGTCGGCATCGCCTCAGGAGCCTCTCCAGGGGTTGTCTTTCGGAAGAGAAGCAGCCGGACGGAGCATTGCTGTCGCAACACATGGATCATTCAGGCAGACCGCAAGCAGAGGTCACGCAGAAGATTGTGAGAGCGTAACTAGAAGATTGCCTTCGCACAGACAAGCAGCAGCATGATCCAAAACAAAAGACGTAAAGGCTTTCGACTTTCAGGCTTTCAGGCTTTCAGCTCAGCTGAGGAGCGGCGGTGGCACTGGCTCTGCCAGCCCTGGGAGTGGCCGGAGCCACTCGGGCTAAAAGTTGCGATCCAGAGAGACGACAAGACGGAGACTTCTCTCTTCTTTTCCTTCTTTGCTTCGTTTCAGCCGTTTGTGTTGTCAGGTGGTGAACAGTCGGATTTCCGAGAAGCAGCGTGAAGATGCCGAGAGGTCCTCCTGGGCTTAGACCGAGTCGCCCTCTGCCTTTGGCTGCTGACAGCTGGGGGTTTTGCGATGCGCGGTTTGGCCAGGAGGGCTCGGGAGGCAAACTCCCTCCCCGTTGGCCCTATCCTGCGCGGACCCCCAGAGCTCCTCTTCGCTCCTAGCTCCTAGCTGCCCTAGCTGCTCCCAGCTCCAGCGCTGCGCTGCCCGAGGACGGTGGCGGGCGTCGGGGCGGCTGCACTGGTCGCGGGGTCCGTGATCTCCTCGGTCGGATCCTCAAGGTCCAGAGGCTGCGGCAGCGGCCGGCGAAGCCAACACCCCGACTGCAAGAGTCCGTGAAGCCGAGATCGGAGACTCCTTCGGCAGCGAGCAGGTGGTCGAGGACCATTCCCGGCGAAGATTTGTTGTGCGAGGGGGATGACATGGAGTGACATGCTCTCAGGAGGTGGTGACAACAGCCGCCCCCAGCAAGGCCAACCTGAGCTTTTTCAAAATGAGCTCAAGACACACACTTCCGCCGCTGTCGTGCCCGTCCACAGGGCAGGATCCGGGCTTGGGCTCGGGAGGACAACGGCGCGCAACGTCCGATGTCTTTGTCGTCTGTTGTACCGAACCGCGCTAAGAGCCGCAGGGTCAAGCCAGCTTCAAGAAGCGCAGGGTCTTGGTGGGTTAACAGGGGTTCGAGGTCAGGCGCCGATCGAGCACCCTGATGCTCATGAACATGCAACCCGACAGATTCCAACACAACCTCCACCCACAGCAAGAGTGTCTGTGGGGGTGAATCTGCTTGAGGAATAAACGAGTCGGAGCAAAAGGGTGATCGAAGAGACTGTCCCTTTTAACAGCGAAGCTCGTGGAGCGGCTCAAGGAAAGTTTGGGATGTCTGCAGAAGGCTCGAAGGTCTGAATGCATGGCCTCGAATCGAGCACTGTGAATACCGAAGTATCGAAGAAAGGCTTGGGAGACGGTTTAATGTTTTCTGTGATATGTTTGACAGCTGCGTGCAGCGTTTTGTCGAACTCGCCATGTGGAAGCCCTCATATCGATACGAAGCTTGAACAAGCATGAGCAGCTCCGGCCACTGCTTTGGATATCATGCTTGAACGGCCCGAAATCGTGGCATCATGTCTGCACCAGGCCGCAGATGACAAGGCAGCGGCGGACAAGGCCGCAGCGGAGAAGAAAGCAGCGGCAGACAAGGCAGCAGCTGACAAGGCGGCGGCTGACAAGGCGGCGGCAGACAAGGCCGCGGCTGAAAAGGCCGCAGCTGACAAGGCCGCAGCGGACAAGGCCTCAGCAGACAAGGCAGCAGCCGACAAGGCCACGGCTGACAAGGCCGCAGCAGACAAGGCCGCAGCTGACAAGGCAGCGGCAGACAAGGCCGCAGCGGAGAAGAAAGCGGCAGCTGACAAGGCAGCGGCAGACAAGGCCGCGGCTGACAAGGCAGCAGCTGACAAGGCGGCAGCAGAGGCGAAGGCAAAGGCGGATCAGGCAGCGGCCGAGAAGGCTGCAGCACAGAAGGCAAGTGGAGTGTTTGTTCTGCGTTTGGCCTTGGTTTCTCGTTCTGGCACAGGCGTATACTGTTCCGAAGTCTGCCAAGTAGAAGACGGGTCGATGCCAAGCGAGATAAGTCTTGACTTCCCCGCGTTACATTTGCTGTGAGGCAGCCACCAAGGCGCCGGAACCTGCCGCTGCCCCTGAAACGGAGGTTGCTGAATCCAAGAAAGTCTCGCGGAAGGGTTACTTCAATTACATGAGAGACAAGAAATGAGAAGCTTTTTTGAAGCACATTTGGATTCTTTTAGATGCTGCACCGCCGCTGGCAGCACAATTTTTGTACATCGTTTTGCATTTTCGTTTTCTGCCAAGCATGGTGTGATGGTGTACCGCTGTACAGATTGTTAAAGACTCGTTCACGGCAGAGGACAGTTTTTCAGAGCCAAAACGGAAGCAGAAGGGTGTGATTGTGTGTCGGTGTGCATGACAGGGCAGGCATGCGGCTGATGCTGACGTGAGACATCTTGGATTATCGGAGCCCTCAAGTGGACAGCAGCAGTCCTAGGGAGCCTCCGTCGCTTCGCCATGGCCCGCCGACCTGCTTTCGCCTCAAAACCTCAGAGCCTCAAGTAAGAAGAAGAAGAAGAAGAAGTCGCAGAGTCTCTGCCCGAGGTGCTTGGATCTGTTGCTTTGGCGGCCGCGCTGGTGAGCTGCCTTGCTTGCACTCCAATCTAAGCAGTCGTTGCGGCTCGCAGGCCGTGGCGCTCCATGGCCTCTGCCAATGGGCCTTCGTGGCACCGGCACCAGGCCGATCGGGCCCGGCTCGCCCGGCTCCATGCTGGTATCGTCCTCCCTAGGCCGCGCCGGCATCAGCCAGACAGCGGGGAACCCGGCTGGCATTCGCCGTCCCGCATCGGAGACTCGTATCGCGCAGGGCGCCCGGGTGTCGGGGAAGCCGGATGCTTTTGCCCAACCTGGTTCGGTCCTCGCGACTGCATGCGGAGTGGCAGGGGCCCCATCTTGAGGCCATTAGCTTGTGGCTTGCATGTTTATTTTGTTAGTTACTTTTCTGGTGTTGGCAGACCAAAAAGAGCAACCCTCGACCACAGCCCTTGCGAAAGAAAAAGCGACAGAGAGAGATAGATACAGAACCATGCAGCTGTTGTTTTGCTGGGGGTAGCCGAAGCTGTTGGTGGAAGCACAGTCCCCAGAGCCGAACGTAACACAGCAGGATACGTAGTGTACTGGTCGTGGCCTCAGCAGTGCGTTGTGTGTTGTGACAGTGTTTGCTTGCCTGGGGGAACAGAGCTCATAGCGAGCAAGCCTGCGACGGGGGTGAAAGTGCCTGCCGCAGCTTCTGGGCAGTGAAACAGCACTAGCCGGAACCCCAGTAGACGTGGCGCGAGGCAGGGGATTTAGTTTGAAATTCAGGTAAAGGGTTGGGGGTTGTTACGGTGCAAGCCGGTGCCTCGCTCTCACAGGGGGGAGTCTCACAACAGCAAACCTGAGACCAGTGCGCGCCCGCGCGCGGAGAGGGGTGTCCGCCCTTCTCTTGGCTGAGTGCAAGCAAGATAGAGAGAGATCTGTAACTTTCCCTTGTCTTTTCTTCTTTCCATTTCTGTAGAAACTTTTCCGGTTGACCCGGCTCGTGCCACGGGCAGTGGTGCCAATGCAGCAGCTATCTCCAACGAGATCACTCCCGAATTATTCACGCTACACGGACGGTTTGAGCATTCGGACAGACTCAGCTGCCGTTCGTGTGGGTGAGAATAAGTTACTTAGCCCTTGGTATGCTTAAGACGTTCTTTTAGGAATGATAGCTTATCGGATATGATCTAGGGGTTTGTCGAGGGGTTGAACACATAATAAATAGGGGGTTTCTGGTGGTGGTGAAAGTAGCAATGGTAGCATATCGGCTATGATCGAGGGGTTTGTCACATAATAAATCGGATTAAGGCTGGGCACCTGCAGCTTAATTCATGGCCCACAAACATCCCACTCAACCTCCCGGTACTCATGGTAGTCGCTCAGTAGTTGTAGTCGTAGTCTTACTATGGGCATTGTGAGAGGGCCCATCGAGGATCATCCGACAGTTTGCATGAGCACTGTGAAAGGGCCCATGTCTGGAGTAGGACAGGCCCATGTCGAAGGACTCCTTGGGGAACATCCGACAAAATTGGAGCGATCCGCTAGAAATTTGCTCAACATGCCCAACCCCCACCCCTGCCCTCCGCCGCCCATCCCGCACCTGGCTGGCTGGCTGCCCTTCTTCATCCAGGTCGGAACACGGTCGGAACCAGGTCGGAACCAGGTCGGAACTGGGTCGGAACCAGGTCGGAACCCGGTCGCAACCCGGGTCGGACCGGTACACCCCCAAGCTAACCCCCTCTGTGCTTAACATGCCAAGCAAGCAGGGTGAGCTTGGAGGTGGTACCCGGCTCCGAAGAGGTTCCGACCGGGTTCTGGCGACCGGGTTCCGAGCTGGTTCCCGACCTGGTTTTCGACCTGCTTCCGACGTGGTACAGACCTGGATCAAAAAAGAGCAGCCACGCCAGCAGGTGCGGGATGGGTGGTGCTGGGCAGGTGGGGGCAGGGGTGGGGGTTGGGCATGTGAAGGAAACTAGAATTGTCTTGTATGGTTTCAGCAGATCTTTTTTTCCGTCCTTAGCTTAATGGATGTTCTGTTTCTGTATTCTTTAAATACCAAAACTTTGACCTTCTCATAAAATTGTAGAGGGAGATGGTGGTAAAAGAGCTTCTTCTGCTTCACTGTTTCTAAGTCTTTTTGGTATCTCATCTTTTTCCGTTACTTTCGAATCCCTTGCTCCCTTACGGTTTATCAACTTTGCTCCTGCGAAGCTTTGATGCCAGTACGCATCCGTCAACAGTTTGCTATCCCCAAATTGCCCGGACCAACTTCGTCCCTTAAGTTGTGCATGTTCTGCCAACGATTCCGAATCGAGCAGCTTGTCCGAGCAACGTTGCGCGAGCCAAGTTCGTCCAGATTCTGCTTAGATTCGTGCAAATCCTGGAGCGACATCGCATCGGTATCGAGCTGCAGCTCTAGCAAAAGTTATTGCCTTTATGTCATACATGCAACTCTTCAGGCACCAGTGCAGGCCGCCTGCAAGGGTTTTACAAAGAATAAGAGTGTAGGGCAGTGATAGGGAGACAGAGTGAGACAGTGAAAGTGTTGGGTGGATTGCGCCAGTCTTTAGTTTCATTCCGCCGGATGCTTTTTCATTGATCTTCTTTCGATTTGGGAAGCAGGGGGTCGGGGGAACACATCAGCCTCCTGCTTCACATCGAAAGCCCGACGTGTGCCAATGGCTGGCAGCCCATGGCAGCCCCAGCCCTGAAGGAAGGAGGCTAGTGACTAGTGTTGCAACTGCCAGAACCCGAAGCGAAGCGACGACGGTCACTTCTCTGCTCCCAGGCCGGCAGTGCTGCCTTGCTGGCCTTGGCTTCCCGCTCTTCGCGAGCGGCGCGCCCGGACTCGCCCTCTCGCCCTCTCGCCCTGGCCGGGCCGAGCGGTCTCGGTCCCGTTTGCGTGTCATCCTTGCGCGGCTTGGGCTTCCAGGTCGCTGTCCGCGCGAACCCTGGCTCCCCAAGCCTCATCCAGGCCACGCCACTGTGAGGGTCGCGAAAGCACGGCAGAGCAGCGCACGGCGGAGTGCCAGGTCCTGGAGCAGAAGGGCCTGCTGTCGACCGTCGAGAGAAGGGGGGCCCAGAATCTGGGAGTGTGCGACGCTTTCTGCGCTGTTCTGCGCTTCTGCGCTGTGCGCTGAGACCTGGGCCTTCTCTCGGGGGCGGAGAAGGCTGGCATCAAGGTCAGCACTGTTGAGGCTCGCGTCAGCTCGGATGTTCTCGCTTCTCACTGCTCTGCCTGGGCTGCTGGGGGGCCTTCTCTCGGGAGCCGTGCTCTTCAGGAGCTGGGGCTCTTGAAGTTGGCAGAGAGGCTGAACTTGCTCAGCCTGGCAGAGAACGTGTCACGGCCGAAGCCAGAAAACTGAACCATTTGGGGTCGGGGGTTGTCTGTGCTTCGAAACAATCCCATGGACTTGGGGAGTCACAACAGGTCTTGACGAACGGTTCCACCCCCTTCCTCATGCTCGCAGGAGCCGCCTTTTGTTTGGCGAGAAATGTTGCCCGAAGCAGCTTCGCACTCTGCGAGGAGCCGGCGTCCTGGCTGCTGGGTCCTTCCTCTGCGCCACCAACCCCGAGGGCTCATTCTTCCAGTACTTCCTCACAGGCTGATTGGGCAATGCTGGAAGGGCCCAGGGGCCTTGGCCGTGCCGCCGCCCGGAGGTGCCTTGGGGGCCCCGGCCCTGGTCCTGGGCGGCGCGGCCCTGGTGATCCTCTTGATCTTCGGGGGCACCAGGAGGACCGGATCGATGTGGGACGGGCAGCGTGGCGACTCTTTTGGCCTCTTTAAGAGAGGACTCGCTCCATCGACGTCACCGAGAAGGAGAGAGCACTGCGTTTCCTCTTCGCCCTTCTCCGCCTCAGCCCAGCAGCTCTCTTCCTTTTTCCCCAGGAAGTCAGCTACGGCGAGGGTGGCTTCCAGTCTCAGGAGGTCCTTCGCTCCGCTTCGCTGCTCGAGGCACCGCTGCTCCGCTGCTCCGCTGCTCCGGCTCGACTCTCCCTCTTGCTCCGCTCTTCCGCTCTCCGTGCCAGACTGTCGAGCAGAAGAAACTCTTGTCCTTCCTGGAAGAGAACCGCCTGCTCAGCCGCACCCTCAGCGAAAAGAGCGAAGGGTAAAGGAAGCCTCTCGTTCTCCTTCTGCTGGGACGCCTTCAGGCCTCGCAGGTTCCCTCGTGGACAGGCCGCTGACGCTCACAGAGAACCTGAAGCTGCCTGGGGCCCTACTGATCTATCGATAAGATGCCATCTTCCTGACATACTACACATAACATACTATGATGCATGTACGTGCATTGTACGAGAGGTTGCTGTAGAGGGTGGCTGCTCTTCCAGCGCATGGGTGAGGCTGAGCACCTTGGAGTCGCTTGGAGTCCTCTCTCAAGTCGAGAGCTGCGCGGCTGCATCCAGCTCTTGCTTGCGAGGGCTACTACGACAGGGTATGGATCGCCTTCTCGTCCATCGATAGGTCTCAGTCCCTCCTCCCCTCCCGGCTCCGGCTGCCCTTCCCGTCCTTTGCCTTGCCTTCCCTTCTTCCTCTCCTTCCCTTCTTCTCTCAGCTTGTGAAGACTTGGATGTAGCTCCTTTGGTTTGAGTTCAGGGGCCGTTTCTGTGTGCAACGCGAGGTTTGGC